GACTCACGTGAATACACTGAGAAAAGCTCTACTAGTTTCGAACCATAGAAGGGTTCTTCCTTACGAGCAGCGTGCGCAGTCGCGGCGATGTCGCGCAGTACTAGTAAACTAGTAGAGCTTTTTAGTATATTCACGTGAGTAACTCGCGATTTTTAGTTAATTACATAAAGTTAAATGTAGAACCTCACTTTACTGCAGTCAGTTAAATTACCCACATATTGTGCCGACCCATGTCATCTTACGTAAAAACAGAGAAAATAACAAACGACCATAATTCACGGTCTAATTATCAAGTATCAATGAACGATAATAGTATTTCTTAGAAAGTGAACTGTGTAGGAATTTAATTTATTGTTATTCGCTATGCTCGCGTCGTGACTTCGTCTGCGTTGTAAATTGTGTGAATTGCAAATTAAGTAGATATCATCACATACGGAAGAGAGAAAATTGACTGCGTACTGCGTTGGCCGAGAGGGGTCTCGGGTTTGATTCCCGGGTTGGGCAAAGTACTATACATTCTCAGTAATAGCACGGAGTTTGAAATTGTGCCCGGTATATGGCAATTCACCCCCTATTACATGGGACTCATAACATAAAATAATAGTGAAAAGTGGGTGTTACCTACATTGTAGTGGCATAAAATGCCGTAATTTACACCTCTGCCTACCCCTTCGGAAATAAAAGGCGTGATGTTATGTTTATGATATCTAGATGTTCTTGTTTCGACCAAAACTATTTATTTAACCGAGTTTATAAATCAGATTTTTATTTGCATACCCCGTCCTCGTCCCTATTTTTTTAAACAATGAATTTCTCTTATCTTCTTATTTATCTATCTGTATGCCCGGCAACCGCACTGACCGCACTTGCGACCATTCGACCAACGACACAGTCAAAAAAATCTACTCATCATTTCAATATGAATGATTGAAGTTTAAAAATTAATAAATACATCTTGTTTAATCAGACATCGGCCTTAGTAAATCCTAAAATATATCTAGACTTTGTTAATGATTCCCTTTCATTTACATGACTTACTTGACTTAATATCCTGTGTCCCCTAGATGGGGCAGTGGGCGTCTACTGAAATTCTCCATCACGATCTGTGTTGAGTTTCACGCTTCACCTAACTTTACGTCATACCGATGCTCGTCGCTTCTGCCAGTACGGTGCGACGCCAGGTTTGCCGAGGATGGCCACGCTTTCTTTTCCCTTGAAGATTCCAATCCAAGGCTCGCTTGGGTATGTGGTCAGGACCCCTTCGGAGCGTGTGGGCTATCCATCCCCACTTGCGGCTGTGCCCTATTCATCCCCACTCGGCCTTTCATTTACATAGAGTATATTTAATTAGATAAGGTACGATGGGGTTGACTTATCCATATGGACAAGTCGCAGAGAACCTAACGGGTTACCGGGGCTCCGGCTCGAAGTGCAGGAGAAGGAACGGGGTGGTTTTTAGTCAGTAAGAGTTTGACACTCCCTCCCGCCTCACCCAGGCGGGTGTAGTCGTTCGATGATTTTCCCCCCTTAAAAAATACATATGGACAAAAACCCCCTAAAACTAAAAAAAGAAAGGAGAATAAAAAAAAAGAAATTGACCTGTAACAATATTATTATACATACCTACTTTTACTTAGATAAGCAGTAAGCACGTGTTAACAATATTACAATGATTCATAATGTAATGATAACATACTATGTTTACCAAACATACGGTTTTAACGTTCGTGACTACTGAAGCGGTCAGTCGGAAGTTTCCCCGTGTATTTCTATTTATGATGGGTGTTTAATTTTCTTACATGTTACATTTTCTGTTTTATATCGTTTGTTCTGACTGTTATGTTTTCTTTGGGTGTGACGGTTCTTGGCGTGTTTAAACTAGTTTAAAGTTTAGATTAAGGTCCCTTTTCACCAAGCTCTGTAAAAACTCAGTTACACGTAACCTAAGTTTAAAGTAACCTAAGTTCTGTGTTCTGTGTTTTCTGTACTGAGTTCCGTGTAAACTAGTTTCTGTTTGTAGCGGTGAAATGTAAAATGAAGCTGTAACTTCGTTTAAATGCTTTAAATTCGATTAGACGCTTTAAATCCGTTTTGTTAGGTGTAATCGTGATCAGTTTCGTTGGTGAAAAGGGACCTTAGGATTTTGTTGAAAGGTTAATAAATTCTTTTGATTCGGGATTTGAAAACTGATGTCCTTGCTTCGGTGGTAATGTCTAACAAATTGCAAGTTGGCAAAAATCTACCTCAATGATGTAAAAGTTGTTCTATCATGTCTAAATTTATTTATTTATTTAAACTTTATTTTCAGACAACTATGGCCTATAGATACATACCTAAAATCATTGGGTTTTTGCACTAAGTGTATTATGGGCAGAAACTACAGAACTTCACTGGCTAAGATTATAACATATGGACGTAGGTCCATTAATAGCTATAAATGACAAAATTAAGTATAGAAACATAGGAAGTTTTACCACCACTAACTACTAATCATCAATCTACTCATCTCATAAGACATACAAAATTTAACAAATAATAAAAAACTGATTCCAAATAACGATAGTATTTTATCTAAGTCGTTTCAAGTCGGAAATATCTCGCGATCTTCCGTTTGATCAAAGGACTGACAAACTAATGTCGGTTTATATTTAGATCGGACCAGATGCTGTCGAGTTCAACACTGATCCCGATCGCTAAGAAATTAATCGTATTAAAAAGTCGAAAGATAGTGAAATATGTGCGAGGAATGCTTCGGTATCATTGACAGACCACCCCTGGATTATAGATAGGCTTCAATACACCTTGAAGTCTTTCATTTTCGTCCCGCAGTAAAATGGGTCTGTCTCGGTAATAGTTTTACAAAGAAATCTTATCTTATACTATTATATAAAGCGGAAGAGTTTGTTTTTTGTTTGTTTGTTTGAACGCGCTAATCTCCGTAACTATAAGTCTGATTTGAATAATTCTTTTTGTGTTGGATAGCGCATTTATCGAGGATGGCTATAGGCTATAAAACTCACGCTACGACCAATAGGAGCTGAGCAGAGCGTGTGAAACCGCGCGGAAGTAGCTAGTAAAGAAATAAGTGATGAACCATGACTTCGAAAGTGCATACAAACTCTTAGTAGTACATAATCAAAACTTCACACCGTGTAATTCTCGAAAAGGTATTTCTGGTCACACGTGTGATGCGAATAGTGCCTAAAAATTTACATCTAGTGTCTCATATGCGAAAATCAATGAATTTTTTTTAACTAAAAAGAAAATTACGTCATTATTTTTTAGTTTTTATTTTATACATCGAAAGTACTCCTTGTGGCTAGTTGTTTTGCTGCGGGACGAAAACGAAATGGATTTCACGGAGTATAAAGGGTGTTTGCCATAATGCTCACGCTTGGCGGGTTAATTGGATTAATTTAATTTAATTGGTTAATTCCTTGTTTTAACTAAGTTTTACTTTTCTTTTGTTTGTGTTTTATTGTTGTATCAGTTACTGTTATTGGATTTTTATGCCGTTGTGACTGTTAAAAAATAAATAAATAAATAAATAAATTGGAGATCAGTTCAAAAGATTCAGGTTCATCAGAGCTCGCTGCTGCCCGGTCTCTGTTGAAAGTCTAGTCTCTTAGCCCGTATATCCCCAAGTGGTCACCGGTGACCGCTCTCCACAACATTATACTACATTATAGACCTTATTTCCAATGTTTAGAGACTACTTTTGTATGAACTAATTTAGGGGATTATAATCAACAATTTTCAACAGGTTAGTTGACTGTTACGGCTCTCGAGAAGAGTAGAGCTTGTGACAAATGTATTTTCCTTTAACGGCTTTACACGGCAAACAAACCTATGTATCTTAGTATTGTTAGTTACAAACCACGTTTTCAAGGACTCCAAGAAGATATTAAACTGGCAGATAATGATATCTGGTAGATAGCGGTTATCCAGAGATGAAATCAACGTGATATCACTTCGCTTTGCGTAAACTGAATTTGGGATGGGCAATTTCGATTCCGTAATTCTCAGAATTGACACTCAATTTAAAATTGTGCTTGTATTTTATAGATTTTCAAATTCATCAGTTTAATTAATAAATCACAATTTAGTAATACACTAATATGAATTCTGCCAATTACACGAGGACACATTCTTAGTAAGACGCGTCGGCAAATATTTCGTTTTGCACCGTGATAAGTAGTTGAATCATCTTGTTTTGTTCTGACATCACTTTGTAATTTTTCCTTAATATGGATCATCAATCATATTTACGTCTTATTGTGATTGTTTCGGGAAAAAGTTGAATGAATGAATGAAAATGAAGAAAACAAGGTACAAAATTCACATTGACTCAACATTGACTAGGTACAAAATCCCCTATTGGAGTAATAGTGGAAATATTTTACTGAAGAAAACTTATTGATATCGTGCTAATATCAATAAGTATACAAGTGCAAGTATCGTACATATAATTTTATGCTACAAATCTTATCTCCAAGTCTGGACCCAAGCCCATGCAAATGGACGCAGTATAATTCTATGGATACTTCTGCCTGTATTTTGACCATCAACATATACTAATGGACATGCCTTAAAGATGAGAATTGTGGCACTCCGAAAGAAAGAGAGAAAACGAAGTGTTGGTCTATCTTTATCTCTCTCAAAATAGTACCGTAGGACGTTATGAGCGAGAAAGAGATAACGCTAGGCCGAAAGCATAGGTCATCTCTCTCACTCTTTTCAAACCAAAAACTTACTGCAGATTATACGGGTACGGCATGTCCATTATTAGTATGTCGATGATTTTGACCTACCATCATTTTAAATCAACGTTTTTTCTATATATTTGATGGGCCGACGTTTGACTACTATCTCGCCTAGTGGTAAGCGATGATGCGGTCTACGATGGAGCACGTCGTCCCATAAGCAACCTATTCACTCGGACCTTGGAGACACCCAGGTTTATACCCTTCTTATACTTACACCAATTTTCCTTGTTACAGGTTGAAATGGCATGCGAGCTAAGGAAGCCACTATTCGTCCACGAGAAAGAAGCTCAAGACGATTTAATAAAGATCCTCGATGAATTCGGATCCCGTCTACCAGCAGTTGTGATCCACTCCTTCACAGGATCAGTGGAACAAGGACTTAAATACATAGAGAAAGGGTTTTACTTAGGTATCACCGGGTATATATGTAAGGATAAGTCAGATGGTGGAATTAGAAGGTTGCTCTCGGAAAGATTGTTGCCTCTTGACAAACTGCTGGTGGAAACTGATTCGCCGTTCATGTACCCGAATATGAGGGCTTCGAAGCTACCGCTGCATGTCAAGGATTCTCTGACTGAGAGGTAAGAAACATATTATAATTGTAGTGTAGATTTCTAATTTATTTTATCATGGTTATCTGTTACTACTGCTTAAATAGGGTAGATGCCTAGATGTAGGTTTTATACGTAGAAATGACGTAAAACTTTACCCTAAACTTTATTCGTTTTATCTAAGTATTGTTTTGGTATACGACAAAAAGTACGTGTTTAATATTTTTTCATTAGGTACCCACCTTACGGACTAATTATATTTTTAATTTTCACACCTTGTCATGATCAGTGTAGATTTCTAATTGATTTTATCATGGTTATCTGTTACTACTGCTCAAATTATCGTCATTATATTAGTTTTAGAATGTACACAGCTGAACATAGATCTCCCCAAATACTTCCAGGGGGCTTACTCTTGAATCCAATTCCGATCGATCGTTATGGTATTGTGAAATTTTGTATTCTTGAGTTTCCACACTAGCGCCCATTGCATCCGTATTGCGGGGATATTTAACGAACTAAATGGTATTGAGTTTAGCTTTATATTCCGTACTCTGAATGCTATTTTAACAGCTACGATAGGGGTTGTATAGTTTTGACAAAGAATAATTGTTGTGATTTTATTGAAATGAAATTGCATTGACATTGAGTTGGGTTTCAAGAGTAAGCACCCACATTGGTATTATAAGTGAGAACGTCTCATTGTAATGAAAACAATGAATAATCTAGCGATGACATAACATAACATCACGCCTTTTTTATCCTCGAAGGGGTAGGCAGAGGTGCACATTATACCACTGTACAATGTAACACCCACTTTTCACTATTTATGTTATGAGTCCCATGTAATAGGGGGTGAGCCTATTGCCAGTTCCAGACTCCGTGCTACTACTGAGATTTTTTTTTAAAAACCCAGTAATACTTTGCCCGACCCGGGAATCGAACCCGAGACCCCTTACCCGGCAGTCGCAATTGCGAGCACTCGGCCAACGAGGCAGTCATCATCTAGCGATGAATTCAGGATATTATTTTGACTAACCGTGCTTGTGTCCAGTCGACCAAGGAAACATGTATATTACACCAGTTTTACATGATGATACAAAAATAATTAAAAAAAAGGTGTCAGTAGGTGACTCTGGAATCTGTCCTTGACAATCACAATACAGAATGTTATGCGAATTTCTTTGTTAGATTGTTATATTGTCGGATCTTATGTCATCCATATTATGTTACATTCACACTATTGTAAGCTATTTAAGGATGTTACTCTATGTTTCTTTTGTTATTTTTTATAGTTATAGTTAACAAGTTGACACTATACTTTCATTTTCCGAAGTAGTAGCGTGCTTGTAATGCACATACTTTTCTTTACTTGTCTTTTTAACCGTCTTTTGGATGAACGGATAATCATCAAATGACTTTGGATGAGATGTGAGGGCGTGTCAGATTCTACATACATACATAACTTCACGCCTGTCTCCCATGGGGGTAGGCAGAGACTAAGGAACTCCAATTACTGCGATTCTTACATACCTCTTTCGCTTCATTAACAGTCATCAATCTTTTATCAATCATCAGATTCTTACTGACTAAAAACCACCCCGTTTCAACTCCTACCTCCTTATACCTCCTCTGCCGATATATGTTTAGCTTTAACCGTAACTTCGGTGTTATGAACCTTTCTACAACAGTAAGAACCTATTAACTACATTTCCAAACTTACTAAAGACACTTTTAAGTGTGGGGGAGCCATGCTTCGGCACGAATGGGCCGGCTCGACCGGGGTGATACCACGACCTCATAGATAACCGACGTGAAACGACGCTTGTGTTGTGTTTCGTCGTGTGAGTGAGGTTACCCAATTACCCCCCTCCCCAGTCTCCCCATTCCCCGAATCTCCCACAATCCTCAGAGTGAGATTCCACATTCCATTATATTTTAATTATAGAGTACTAGCGGCCCGTCCCGGCTTCGCACGGGGGGACTTAAGATTTTTTACATAGTTTTACATTTTATTTATATTTATTCTCAGTTTTTTTTTAGCGACCTGCCCTCCGTTGTCGATGTCGCGTCTTAAGGTAACCGATTGAACGATTCAAAAGTTATCTCGAGCAAACTTTTATAAGGATTGAACCTTTCATTAAAACGATTGTTATGGGTAAACTATAAAAGGTAGACATATGCTCTCGCGGACTTTTTTAAAAATAATGTTAAGATAAACAACTCATCTATAGAACATTTTTGTATAACTTTAACTATATGCTCAGCGCACGCCACGGAAGGCCTCAGAAACGATACTTTTCCCCCGTTTTTAAAACATTTTTGGTTACTGCTCCACAACTATAGGACCTAGCGTGATATTATATAGCCTATGTTACTTCTGAATAATGCAGCTTTCGAATGGTGAAAAAATTATTGCAATCGGTTCAGTAGTTTTTGAGTTTATTCATTACAAACATACAAAAATACAAATCTTTCCTCTTTATAATATTAGTATAGATAATTATATAATTATAGAGAAAAACTATTATAGACAATTTTGGAATCTATACGCTCTATGTTTTGCAATTACATAGAACACATTTTGAGCATGAAACAAATTTCAAACTCCAAAAACATACACTATAAAGTTTATCTAAATCTAAATAATACTACCTATTGTACGCTAGGTAGGATATATCGATTGCTAGACACAATATTAGGACGTGTTATGATTGTGATAAGATAATGATAGTCAACATCCGAATTACGTGCTGTTTGATAACAGAGACTAACAAAACAATGTGTTATCAAGCAACGTGCTACTTATAAATTACGGGTTGTCTAGTGTACCTACATCAATATATATATATATATAGGAAAGAAAAGAAAGAGGAGGCTTTTATAGAGGCTGTCTTTTATAGATATTTTATGGGATACAGGGGGCAAACGAGCAGACCAGGGTGCTTACTCTTGAAACCAATCTCAATGTCAATGCAATTTCAACCCATAAAAACTCAATAATTATTCAATGTCAAAACTATACAACCCCTGTCGAAGCTATTCAAATAGCATTCAGAGTACGGAATATAAAGCTAAACTCAATACCATTTAGTTCATTCAATATCCACGCAATACGGATGCAATGGGCGCTAGTGTTACAACTCAAGAGTACGAAATTTTACGATAGCAATGTCGATCGATCGGAATTGGATTCAAGAGTACGCCCCCGGATGGTAAGGAATCAGTGCCGCCCATAGAAATTCGCAATATCAGTTGCCGTCCTTTGCTAGGTTAAAAACTTTACTGCTTGGCAAACCAGAAACCATAGTTATTACTTGCTAAGTTCATACTTCTTTTTGTTTCTTTCTCTTTTTAATTATTTTTAATTCATATATCTGTACGAAACAAACAAATAGGTACATATTTATTATTATGTGTCGATAGTACATAACAAGTGTAATAAAACATCCGAATAGTTTCACCAAATTTAATACTTACCTGTTTTATTTCTAGATCGATGAACTTCGTGAACCGTTACTGCACGTTTCAAAGGAATGAGCCTTGCGCCCTGCCAGCTATCGTCGAACTCATTGCCGGCTTCTTAGGACAAAAGCCAGAAGACGTCGCCTTAGCCACCGCATTCAACGCCCTTAAGATTTTCGGACTCAGCCAGTGAGTTAAGCAATTATACACCCTCTTACTTTAAAAATAAAGGCTAACAGGGAATTTGTAATATGGGGGATTTTTATACGATTTGTTATAAAGATATGTATATTGTTGGTTTTGATGAAATATGACTGAGTAAGAGGGTTGATCATGTCCAATTTTATAAGGAATCGAAATTCGTGCCTTAGTGCCTTGATTATAGAGTCGATTATACAGAAATGTTTGATTATTTGGGAGTGATGTAATCACAATAAAATCCCAGTTGAGATAGATTATACAATTGTTATATTAAAGCGTATTTGTTGGTTTCTTCGAACGCCATCCGATTTGTTCGAGATTTTTTCAATTAAATTATTGAATAACAATCTAACCTCGAAAATTGAAAATACTCATTTTCATTGCATTTCGATAATGACAAGAAACGATAATTTTTTGTGTACATCTTGTGGCACAATGAGGCTATAGAACGGTTTTTGCGACATTTTAGACGTATTTATAGACAATTTGTCGCTTAAATCGCCCTAATTTGATACTAAAACATTCGAGTATAATATCTTGCCATTGATTTAAAAACTAACATTGATTGCCTCTCTAAATGGTAAGCCTGATGATGAGTTTTGGAGAATTTCTATACATTTGAATACACAGAGTGAATATAATTAATTTATACAACGAACTGAAAAGCAGCTATTTAAAATTGTTGTGATTTAAATTATTTTATAGCGTAATAACTTGCAGATACAGCGTTTATATTTATTAATAATTTAATTTGTCTGTACAGTTATTTACGCTAGGTCAGTATTCTTAGCAAGAAAGTATAAGACTTTTATTTAAATCCTTTATGTACTACGTTTGTTTAAATGTATAGAAATAGAAAATTATAATGAGAGATATTGCTACGCAAGTTACAAACGCGTACCTGAAGAGCCAAGTCTTAAATTATTGCCATTTCATGATAGTACTTGGTATTTTTGCATAATAAACGAAGACCTTATAATAAGATTTTTTGACTAATAAATTGTGGCTTACGTCTGCACACGCCTTAAACTGGTGGCAACCGGGCTTTAGTCAGACTGATCTCAAATACCGTGTTTGAAGTTATTATTCATTTATCCATATTATTTTAAAATATTTCGTCAGTAAAACGAATAGTTTTCGACGAATCCCACAGTGTTGCAGTTCACTCGGTAATTCTTAGTTTTATTTATAACGTAAGGAAATGTAAACCATTTTTTTTAATACTAACATTTTGTACGTAATTTAGATTTAGGCGATGTTAGACTAGATATATAATTAGTGTTGTCGCCAAATAGAACGTTTATTAATGTTTTTGTTTGTGTTTAAATAGTGTTCTTGATAAGTCCGATGTAGAGAGAGGGACACAGAGAAATAATTGCAAAGAAATTGAAAAATATTATTTTTTTACCTGCCATTTGAATGGTTGATTTCCATGCAGTTATTTGTCAGTATGTCGCTTTATAATCTATGTCGTCTTGCCTGTGTGACCGCGGTAGTGAACTGCGACCCTTGAACCCACGTACCGATGGCCTGTTGCCACCTTTATCGAATGCACGGTGTTAGGTATTTTCTTATAATTCTCGCTCTGCGCAGAGCATTCCTAATCGAATTACAATATTTATATTTTCATCGAATATTTGTAAATAGTTTGAAGATGTGTAATAATTATTTAATGTTAATTTAATGCTGGTAGTCACAACGAAATCAAAGACTGCAAGTATTAAAGAGAAAATGTGAAACTTGACATGTTAATTACGTTTATGTTTTTGTATCGATATTTTTTACGTATTTAATCGTTTATCGTGTAAGAAGTATTGTTATTCCTTTATTTTTTGACACTTTGTTGTAGTTGTGTAAGTGTGGGCTGGTGAGCCTGTAAGTACGTTTGTATTGCGCATGCGCACCGCTGGCCCGGCTCGTGTAGTGCCTTCGATGAAACGTCCTTTTGTGATACAATATTTTCATAGATTGTACAGATTATTTCTTTCAATATACAATTAAAGAAATTATCAAGTTGTGTTTTATTTATGTATTTTTGTAACACAAAAATCTCCTGAAGAACAAAAATGACGTATTTTTGTAACAATCACATTTTTGATGAAATTTTAGAAAACTGAAATGTGAGGGTTTTTGTATCTGTTGTGTGTCATACACACATATATAGGGCAGCAAACGGATCACTTGATGAATCAAGAAATCAACGACACCGGCCATTGATGGTTGATTTTTGCCAACAACACCAGTGGTTTAGAGGCGCTTAAGTGTTTAGGGGGGTTTAGGGGCGCACCAGTTACAAGTGCTTTAAGGGAGGGGTGGACTGGATTATAAAGTATATAATAATAAACAATATAATTTGGAATTACGAATTTATTTCTACTTATGTACAATTTTTGGCAGTCAACATAATAATCACACTAACTTATGCATATAAGTGACCTGACATACAATTTACAACCAAACATTTTGTAGGAAAGTAATTGTGAATACTGTATAACATGTACTATGTACTGTTTTTGTCAAAAAATCTTGATACGTTTTAATACAGTCGATGAAATTATCAATGTAGGCACAATTTAACAACCATAATTACATGAATACAAATTCATGAAGTTACAGTACCATTTTTCTTTTTTTTTTAATAAACAAAACTTATTTTGAACCTGATTAGTGCACATTTTTATAGTTTCATTCTTTTTATACAAAATTATTCACGAAAATACAAACTAATGTCAACAAAGATTTTTATTGCGGTATGTAAAGTCGCCAGCAGATCAATTGACGCCAAAAAGTAATTATTATTCATTGATTTACGATATATACAGTCAAAACCGCTTACAACGACATCGTTTATAACGACGAATCGGGTACAACGACGAAATTTTGAGGTCCAGTCTATTGTCTTATAAAGCATAAAGATATTGGTTATAGCGACTATTGGTTATAACGATCATAATTAATCGGTCCCTTCGATGTCGTTATAAACGGTTTTGACTGTATATATATTTCTTTTTTATCTGATGGGCCGACGCCGACGTATGGCCAAGCGATGATACGGCCTACGATGGAGCACGTCTGCCCATAAGCAAACTGACTCGGGCCTTGAAGACTCCCAGATTATACCCTTCAGGAAACACAGACTTTGGCAAAGAATTCTACTCCTTAGCAGTACGCACAAGGAAGCTTGAAGCGAAGCGCTTCGTGCGTGTGGGTGAGACATCTATCATCAATCGGTGACGCTTCGCCGATTGTCTTGTGGTACGATGATGGAAAGGACTAAGGGGAATCAAGTTGTGCAATTCTCACACTCACCGCGGTATTTCGCGATCGCGATTTATATCAATACCACAAAGTTGCAAATGTAACAAACAGTAGTGGTTAGCGTAGCATGTAAGATCTTTATAACAATTATTTGACCATGAAAACAATGTACTTGTAATATGACAACGGCACGATAAGTCCGTGGAGAAATACAATTCAATATTATTATTAAAAAAATGTAACAAACAAATTTGTCAGGAAAGGCCAAGTTGACCTGTTAGCAACCGTACATTTTAATTAACATAAGCTTAATAACTGTCATCATTTTATCTCAGCATTCAACCTCATATTACATCACACACAAATACAATTTTAACAATAATAATGACCTAATAAATATCACAGTTTTTATTTAGACTTTATCTAGTTTTTTGACAACGCCTGGTGGCGGGGAGCTAAGGACCTTCTTGGACAGTCTCACCTGACCGGAGACTGGGTCGCGTCCGAAGTATTTCACTTGTATTTCAGAGCCCACATCTAAGCCCAGCACTGAAGGGTGCATTATCTGGGGAAGAGAAGATAGTTTTAAACATAACATAACAGCACGGATTTTATCCCCGCATAGGTGAGGAACCCGACTGGTTTCAAGCCATGCCAGAGGCTCATATTCACGAGCAGCTTTGAGCGACACGCGACGCGGCTACTGTTGCATCGCGAGGGTGAATATGCCGAATAACTTAATAAGTAACCCCTTACTTGTATTGTTAGGCATCCCTTGAAGGATGATGAAATCGAAAATGCCGTTAAGTGTCACCTATCTTAGTTTAAGGGTTCTTTAAATTTTAGAAGAGGTTGGTGATATTTCTTGCTCAACAGACACTATATCTCTTTTAGAAAATTAATTTTCTTACCTTCCTATGATCAAGTTGCGTATTATGTACAAGGGCGGGCGTCATGCCGGAGTAGAGAGTGACCAGTACTCCTATATCCTTCACCTCCACGACCCTCGCCTTGTATATAGCTCCAAACTCCAGTTCAGGAGTTTTTTCTGAAGTCAGCCAGCCTTGTATGCGACTGTGTGCCTCGTCCATCGCCGCTTGTGATGGCGCGAAGATACTGTATTTTATGTCGTCTATTGGTGTTACCTGGGAATTTTTATTTTAGACTTTGTTACTGAGGAATAAGGATTAAATCTGTGTAAATTCCTTGTAACACCTATCAATTTTAATTCTTTGCTATTATAATGTTACTATTCAAAAGGCATTTGATATTTAATCTAAGTTCGCGAGAGCCATGCTTCGGCACGAATGGACCGGCTCGACCGGAGTGATACCACGGCCTCACAGAAAACTGACGTGAGACAACACTTGAGTTGTGTTCCGTCATGTGAGTGAGGTAATCGGAGGCCCAATTACCCCCCTTCCACCCTCCCTAAGCCCTGAATTCTTAAGAAACTTCAAATTCCTAACCCCCAAAAGACTGGTAACGCACTTGTAACGCCTCTGGTGTTCCAGGTGTCCATGGGCGACGCCGATTGCTTACCATTAGGTGCCTCGTCTGCTCGTGTACCGCTTTATCCCGTAACGACACAAAGATTAAGGTTTACATTCAAATTAACTCGTAACTATTCTGCTTCCCTTTAAGTTCAACCTTACAACATAAATAATAAGGTTCACATTCGAACTGACCTGTACACCAGTTTCAAGATATAGTTTTTTCAAGTTGGCTCCTCCCATGCCGAGCAACTTTGGTCTCTTGTGGACTTCCACCTCCATCTCTTCGATAACCGGCATGTTATCTTTGTGCCCTTGTCTGAAATACATAAATAAATATGTAGCTATAATATCAAACTAGGAATTATATAATTATTATTACTCTTGATTTCTGAGGTTAATGCGCTCGCTTCTCGTGTATGTGTTGCACGTGCACGCTCTGGTGCGGGTTCGAAACCTGGCAAGTACCAATGTGACATTTTTCATGTTATATGATTATGTGACTACCGGTGATAAAAAGAGCTTAGAATATCTAATTATAAGTTTGAAATCACTAATCCGCATTGAGCAAGCGTGGTGATTAATACTCAAATCATAAGATATCATAACATCACGCCTTTTTATCCCCGAAGGCCCGATGGGGTAGGCAGGGCACATTGCGACACTTAATGCCACTGTACAATGTAACACCCACTTTTCACTATTTATGTTATGAGTCCCATGTAATAGGGGGTGAGCCTATTGCCATATACCGGGCACAATTCCAGGATCCGTGCGACCACTGAGATTGTTTTTTAAAACTAATACTTTACCCTTTCCGGGAATCGAACCCGAGACCCCTTGTTTGGTAGTCGCACTTGCGACCACTCGGCCAATGAGGCAGTCTCCGTAATACCATTGCCAATGCCCAATTACCCTCCCCCCTTTCCCCAATCCCTGAATCCCCAACAATCCTCAAATGCTTAATCCCAAAAGATCGGTAACGCACTTGTAACGCCTCTGGTGTTCCAGGTGTCCATGGGCGACGTCAGTAGTTTACCATCAGGTGATCCGTAGGGTCGTTTACCGGTTTATCCCATAAAAAAAAATCCGTGTAGAGTACTCCAATCATCTCCGTGTGAGAAGAGGTTTTGCTCAGCAGTCGGAGAGTTATAGAAAGTTATATTATAGATGATGATGAAAAAACCAACCTTGGTTTATCAATACACTGATTCATAATATCGATGATCTTGCTCTTAGCGTCGCACGCCTTCTGTATAGACTCCATGACAATCTTGAGCGGTAGTCCGGGGACTTTGACGTCAGCTTGTAACGCAGTCATTCCTTTCTTAGTACCGGCCACTTTGAAGTCCATGTCGCCCATGTAGTCTTCTATACCCTGAGAAAAAATATGATTTTACTTTAAAAGTTCATTAAAATTAGTGTTTTAATTTATATTGTGTTTATAATAAAAAAAATGTTATATTGTTTAGTGATTTTTTAAAGAAATATGGTTTATATTTATTTGAAAAATGTTGTTAACATAACATCACGCCTTTTTATCCCCGAAGGGGTAGGCAAAGGTATACATTTCGACACTTAATGCCGAATGTTGTTGTTTAATCAAAATGTAAGAATTTGGGATAGGCCTTTGCACAGCTAGGGTTGACAGAACAATTAAAAAAGTATAATTAGGCAAGGGTTTACCTATTATTAATAATCATTTTATTATTATTTCATTGCTTATGACATCATTATTTTACATTTAAACACATGGTCTAAGCATTTGTCAAACAAACATCCCATTTCTAAAAATCAGAACATCTGTTAAGAGACTCCAAAATCTAATAAAATGTTACATAGAAAAATCACAAACGGACTCACTAACAAATCAGTAAGAATCCTGTAGTCCTCGATTTGTCCTTGTTCATCAGGTCGGGAGACCAGACCTATCGCTACTCCTGCCGCGGGAGCTGACAGAGCTACCCCAGCGTCCATCAGGGCGAGGGAACCTCCACATACTGACGCCATTGAACTTGAGCCTGCGGAGAAATTATATTTATTGTACTCATGACAAGTGTATGAGAAAGAAAGAATTTGTCGCCACTTCTATCTTTCTCGCAGGTTTTTTTTTATGGGATAAGCCGGTAAACGCGCCAACGGATGATGGTAAGCAATCGGCGTCGCCCATGGACACCTGGAACACCAGAGGCGTTACAAGTGCTGGCCCTTTGGGATTAGGAATTCGAGGACTGTTGGGGATTCAGGGATTGCGAAAGGGGGAAGGGGTTATTGGGCCTCCGGTAACCTCACTTACGCGACGAAAAACAACGCAAGCGTTGTTTCACGTCGGTCTTCTGTGAGGCGTCATAAAAGCAGAGTCAAGGAATAAATACTCTACGGAGCCACGAAGGCCTAACGGGGCTTGAAGAGCAGGAGTAAGAAAGGGGTGGTTTTTAGTCAATAAGATTCTGTAACTCCGTCTCGCCTAACCCAAGGCGGGAAAAGTTATTGAATGATGTATCCCCTCAAAAATAGTATTTTGTACATTTTTTGATAATTATGATTTCTTAAACTGCGATCTTCTGACCACCCTTCTGTCGAACCCACCTGCCACGGGTGGCAGGCACGGCTCCTCCTGTATCTATAGAGGAGGCCCATAGTTCAGTAGTGGACAGTTACGAATGTTAATGATGATAACATAAAAACTTATCATTAGAGTGAATAGTGAAAATGTCTATCATTTCATAATTTCAACAACGTGAAAGTGAATAGGTTGCTTATGGGTCGACGTGTTCCATCGTAGGCCGCATCATCGCTTACCACCAGCCGAGATAGTGGTCAAACGTCAGTCCCATCTAATATAAAAAAAAGTTCACCTGAAAGTCAAGACCCTTAAAAAAATTCTATCATAACCATTTACCATTGGACTCGAGTACTTCAGCAGTTAGCCTGACAGTATAGGGCTGATGCGGCACGACGGGTAGTAAGCCCCTCTCAGCCAGGGCTCCGTGCCCTGCCTCGCGGCGCCCCGGGGCTCCAGTCCGACCCACCTCACCCGTCGCGTATGAAGGAAACTCGTAATGAAGGAAGAAACTCTTTTCTTTTATGCCACTGGAATAACATAATGGGAAAATAAATAAAACACGTATTTTTGTTAATTACTCTGTGGCGGTCATCGCCCCCATTCTATGCCATCATGTGATTCTGATTCTGATCATGTGGTTATGATGTCACCTGTGCCCTAGCATGTATTAATTTGATTTACTATTAAACAGTCTCATACCGAACTTAAACGAGTGCAGATTTTACTCCTCACACAAATACCCTACACATATGGCGCTAAGCCCCACAACTCTATTTTAAAAGGAGGGCAAATGAAATATTGGGTACGAATTTAGTATCCGTGTTAAGAAGCTTCAGATTAAAACACAATATTACTTTGCCCTACCCTAGAAATGAGTTGAAAACATTGAATTTTGCCGTTGCGATAATAACGAGGCATTTTTTATTTTAGATTAATTTCTTTACGCGTTACTAACGAAAATATAGATAGACAGACGGACGAACTGTTATAGTGTTGGGGTAGTTCGGAATAAAAGAGTCCAACTTGCAGATAATTAAGTTTATTAAAAAATGGTTTAAAATCAATAATTAATGTTTTAACTCGTCATATATAAAACGTCACTGGCAATGTCACTGAATGAGAGAGTCACTGGATGAGGAAACGACTGGTTAGATCGGATTGTGAATTAGTACTGTCTGTCTCACGGTATGACAGACAAACTCTGGGCACACACACATGCTTAAAGTGCATACAATGTATAACAGAACGACGGATTCTATAAGGACTCCGTATTTTCCTTTTATGGAACCCTAAAAATAAAAAGATTCTAAAGTAAAATAAATCTTGGAACTATTTTTATTTTATTCACATTTTATCTTCCGGTTATCAAAGTATGACTTACCTAGTAAGCATAGTTAGTGTATCCATCTTGAGCGCGCTCTCTGGGGAGTCGAACGCGACCGTGCATAGAACCTGTGTCTGCCCGCGTTGGAACACTGCGCTACCGTGCAGGGGCTCATATAGAGATACCTGGTGAAGAATAATAATCATCATAATATTTTTTTCCATTATCTATTTTAAACTGTCAAACACCAAGCGGTCACCGGTGACCGCGACCTATTGTTCTTTAATTGTGTCTATAAAACCGGTACTCGACGAGTTAAAGTAACCGGGGACTGTCCTTGGGTGCATTTCCATAGTGCATACAGGGATAGTCGCGGGTTTGTGTGTGCATTACATTTAGATTTAATTGGCCTTGTGTGCCTCCCAAAAGACCGGGACCCTGTGGTCCCGTGAATAGTAGAATCATAATATTAGATTATTAAATTTTATTGTTTACTAATGTAGCTGTTTGACAAAACGTTCTTTGCTTACCAAATGGCGCAAAATTTAGGATGGGATTTTTTGTCCAATCACAGCAGCTGTCAAAATATTGAACGTCCAATGACGCGACACTATCTAATTCTCTATTGGACGAATAATGAGATAGGCACACTGGCGCCTCCTGGTGAGCAAAAATATGGTACGCCCCATTCGACTAGTTTCAAGCACAGTAGGGAGCTAACAATTGGTTATGTGAAGTTAACTGAGTCGTTTATCGGGCAATGCTGCTATGACTAAGATTATGAGTCTTTAGCCCCTACCCTGGTTTAAAATTAGTAGAGTTACCTCGTCAAACAATTACATAAGAAAACATACTGCACGGTTAGCGCGGTGGCTGGGCAAATGGCTGCCGCCAAACGTGTCGTGGGTTCGATTCCCGCACGGAACAATTCATTGTGTGATCCACAGATTGTTGTTCCGGGTCTGGGTGTCATGTGTATGTGAACTTGTATGTTAGTAAACGCACTCACAACACAGGAGAAAATCCTAGTGTGGGGCAACGTTTTTTTTTTTAAATTTAAAACATCAGTCTTATTTGAAAGTTCTATGTTTGAAATTACAGCGATCGTACCTGACAACTAATCTTCCTGAGCTCATCCAAATGCCGCCCATCACACCGTACATCGGTCTCGAATATCATGTCCCGGAATATCTTCTTAAGGTTGTCGTTGAAACAGTCTTGCAACTGTGTGACGTCGGCCTCCGTCTCACGAAGTTGGTTTAAAACTGTTTGTCTGAGTTCTGATATCGCGTTGTCTCGCGATATTTTGTCGTGGGAGTAGTCGCTGGAAAGAATTATTTTTGTTGGTGAAAATTGAGTACACGCAAACTGGATAATATAATAAATTAATAAATAAATCTTTATTCAGATATGTGGCACAGACACAAAATTATTCCTTGTGTAAGAAAAATAGATCCCACATGGTTTTTTTTAAGGGGGGGAAGAAATCATCGAATGACTGCTCCCGCCTGGGTGAGGTAGGAGGGAGTGTCAGACTCTTACTGACTAAAAACCACCCCGTTCCTTCTCCTGCACGTCGAGCCGGAGCCCCGTTAACCCTTAGGTTCTCCGCGACATCTCACATGGTTAGGTGCCTGTACTAGGATAAGCCTGTGTCATATAATAAAACTAAACAATCTTTAATACTCGAAAACTCAAATGTTGATTTGTTTATGAGATAATGTAATAAGGGGTGAGCTTATTGCTGCAAACTTTTGAGATTATGCTCGACTTCAGCTTAGAAGTTATAAAAATGATGAAACCTTAATTTTTTTATATTTGCTTGGGAAACCTTCGGCAGGCGCCAAGCTGATTTGGGGAGAAAAAACTAGGGAGTGTGGGATTCCTAGCTCACTAAAACCACCCACCCCTGTGGCCACCATCATCACCTATAGGGCCACGAGTCTTCTATAATAGACCTGCAGCTGTACCCAAATGCCATTTAGCGCTTGTCTACATGTAGAGTAGAAAACCGAATAATATGGAATTGACGTAAATTTTGACACTTGTCAGTGTCATCTCCATACTTTTAGTTTTCTACTCTCTCGGTAGATAAGCGCAAAAGTGGCGTTAGGCTAAAAGCACTGTTCCGGAGCCCCCACGGTAATATATAGCCTAACCCGGCCACCGACCCCGTGGTCTTCGGCTTAAAACAACGACACAAAGTCGGCCTAGGATTTTAATCTTAATTGGGTAGTTTCCTGGGTCGAAAATAAATTATTTTGATTTTTCAATCCAATTAAATGTTGAAAAATAGTTATACTTTCATTCATTGATTTGCTTATATACTTAATTTTCGATTTATTCTTGCATTTTCTTCAGATATAAGTGTGCTATTTGACGCGTAAATATGATGACGTCATAAGCTAGTATTTCGTACAAAATTCATAGAACAGTATCGTTTTTGACGTTTCGATAAAAGTATTGAATTTGACTAGTTGTCAACTATCGTATTGTATCAATTGCTTTTCCAAACTTATTCGTATTACACAAGACAAGCCAGTTTTCACCTATTCGCTCACCTGAGTATCTCCCTGATCTTCATAGAAGACAGTGTGCTGACCGCGTCCATTATTTCTTGGCGCAAAGGCGCCGGTGTCTCATACGCCCGCTTCATTTTACCATGACTCTTCTGCAGTTTCTCTATGCCTCGGACTATAAGCTGGGCTTCTTTTGTACCTGAAAGAATTTTTTAGGTATAAAGTTATGTTTGCTTGACAAATATTAGGCTTATTGAGAGACAAGCACGAATGGGCCGGCTCGACCGGAGTGATACCACGGCCTCACAGAAAACCGATGTGAAGCAACACTTGCGTTGTGTTTCGTCGTGGGAGTGAGGCTACCGGAGGCCCAATTACCCTCCCCTTCCCCAATCCCTGAATCCCCAACGATCCTCAAACTCCTAATCCCCAAAAGGCCGGTAACGCACTTGTAACGCCTCTGGTGTTCCACGTGTCCATGGGCGACGCCGATTGCTTACTAACTAACAGGTGATCCGTTTGCTAGTATACCGGCTTACGCCATAAAAAAGTAACAGAACATGGGGTAAGGGCAAATGAGCAGACAGTTCCACTGATGATAAGCAATCTGTGTCGCTCATGGACATCCACAACATTATAGAAATTTACAGAATTTCCTGTCGTTTATATGCTTTATAAGCCTTTTGGTGAGGGCGAGGAGACGGGGCCTCTGGAAATACGGCGAAACAAAACGCAAGCGTTGCTTCACGTCGATTTTCTGTGAAACTGTGGTATCACTCCAGTTCAAGCCGACCGTTCATGCTGAAGCTTGGTTCTTGCAGTGAAAATATGAATTATAAAATGTTATTAATTTATCTCTTCCTCGTTGGGCGAGTGCCCGCAAGTGCGACTCCCTGGTAAGGGGTCTCGGGTTCGATTCCCGGGACGGGTAAAGAATTAATGAGTTTTTAAAAAAAAATATCTGTAGTAGCATAGGCTCACCCCCTATTATATGGGACTTATAACATAAATAATGAAAAGTGGGTGTTACTTCTGTGTGCACCTCTGCCTACTGCTTCGAGGATGGAGGGCGTGATGTTATATTATTTTTTACGACGTTTAAACGTATATTTGAGTGTCGTCTTTAATAACAAAAATTACAACTGGACTTACTTGCATACCTAATTTGATGGCTTTCAGCAAGTCCTGCTGCAGTATATCCTGGGCGCTGCCCTCCATCATCACAACCAAGTTCCTGTTGGTAGCAGCCACCACCAGGTTTAATATAGACTTCTGCAGATCCTTGCGAGTTGGATTGATTATTACTTCATTATCTATTTGTCCTATTCTGTAATGAAAGGAATTAAGAATTATTCTCGTTGTTAGTTGAATCGTCGCAATGGTCAAACTACCAGGGGGTCTCAGGTTTGATGCCCGTATGATGAAGCTTTGATAAGTGATGATGAAGCCAGACACAAATATTCTCTGGACTTTTCGGTTTTTCGAAAATTTCTTGGCAATAGCACGGTCAGTATATAAAGATAGATGATATTACATTGTATAAAGCACTTCTGCTGACCCCTTCAAGGTTTAGTAAAGCGTGGCGTAAATTACATACCTTACAGCTCCAATCGGTCCATTCCAAGGCACATCAGACAGTGCTAAAGCTGCACTGGCAGCGTTTATGGCAACAGTCTCCGGTGGGTTCATAGAATCAACCGCAAGCATGTTACATACTATTTGAGTATCAAAGAAATAATTCTGTGGGAATAGTGGTCGCAAGGAGCGATCGATGAGCCGAGATGTTAGGATTTCACGTTCCGTTGGACCTGAAAATAAATAAATTATAGCAATAATGAACCTTAGATGTAGATGGGGAGAGGTGTTTTAAGTGACTGACAGTGTGTGATAGATCATTGCTCGTTTGGTGCGGTGGCTAAGTAACTGGCTGCCGCACAATGTGTCGCAGATTTGATTCCAGTACGGACCAACTCTTTGTTTGATCCACAGATTGTTGAATCGGGTATGGGTGTAATGTCTACAACATGAGAAAAAATTTCTAGTGTGGGGGCAATATTAAAAAAAAATGTTGTGCATACTGCTAAGGAGTGGAATTCTTTGCCAGAGTCTGTATTTCCTGAAGGATATAACCTGGGTGTCTTCCGAGTGAATAGGTTGCTTATGGTACGTGCTCCATCGTAGATTGCATCATAGCTTACCACCAGGCGAGATAGTGGTCCATAAAAAAATGAATCTAAAAATAACGGTTTACTGACATAACTATACTCAGAAAAACTCTACTAGTTTCGAGTCACAAACTTGAGCAACGTGTGCGGTCACAGCAATGTCGCGCAGCCTACTGACCTGTCATAGGTCCTATAAACCTTTATTTTTTTGATAATTCAGTGTCTCACGATGAAGTTGTTTGGACAAACTTATTACTATATTTTCCAATTAGAAATAGTTAGATTTCTTTATTAGAAATAGTTAGATTTCCAATTAGAATAGAAATCTAACTATTTCTAATTGGAAAATATAGTAATGAGTTTTCCAACATTATAAAATTATTTTAAATGTAACAGCAAGGCGTCTGGTTAGTCTGGTATACAGTATGCCAGATTTATTATAGGAATAAAATCGTTTGTTAGGAGGTAAGTATATAGAATGTAGATTATACCTAATTCTCTTCTAAGAAAATTGGTTGGTATTCGTCCAGCAGCTGCAGCTTTCTGTCTATAGTCCACTACGAGCGGCAGAAATGTTGAAGAACTTTGTTTGGCTTTGGATACCACTGTAGATAGTATAGCGGTGTTCCCCAGTGTAGCCACACAGGCACCGTCTGCAAACCTTGCATACTGGCCAGTTTTTATATTCAAAGATGTCCTGGAACCAAAAAGGTTTTGATAATATAAGGTTGAATTATCTATTGGTAAGGTTTTTAATCTGTATGCATGTGATAAATAACAGATAATTGTAGCAGTGTTTAGTTTACAGCAATAAGTTGCAGTTTTTTTATTATCAGAAATAAATATAATTCGGCCTTAACCTTTTTAAACATAACCTAAAACTTACCCTTTAGAAAACGGTATTTCGACCTCACCAACGCTTGTTTGTGCCGTATAACATCGAGAACATCTCTTTTTATGAATTAATCGTGATAAAAACAAAGGTTTTCTTGCTAACATAGCGGAATTTTCTTATTTAAATAAGGGTCAAAAAAGGACGTTGTTATGACACTGTCTTAAGTTGTCTTTCTTATTAGAAAATCTATTTTCTATTTCATTTGTTTAAGAAATTGTTGAATCTTATCAGAAGATTTTATGGTCAAAAGCTTTAAAATAATAAATTAATATTTTGGAGTGCCTAATTTAAAAATCGGGACTTTTTCGGTTTCAGATAAATGTAATCAACATGACATAAACGGTCCAATCTACAAAAATCTGATTTGAAGTATAAAAAGTATACCTACTTGGCCGCTCTTGGCGCTCTCTCTCTTTTACTTTTTGCTAAGTAGGCATTACGTCCCTTTTTAATGTCAAATAAAATTTGCTTACAAAGTCGACAATGCCGAGTACTTGGAACGTTTACTTCCGTCCAGAAACTAGTAAACAACTAGTAATTTTTCTCTTGTAACATACAAGAGAAATTAGTAAAATTAGTAAAACAATAAATTAGTAAATTGTTTTTATTTTTTACTTATTAGTAACCGTTCGAAGCACCTTTCATTGAATTAATAAATAAATTATATATTTCTGAGACCCCAAAGTGAAATTTCTAAACGTACTTTGTTTACAAAGTGTCTGTTAGTTTCAGCTGTTCGAGTGTTCAGGTTCAGTGAATAAAAATTAAATGATAATTCTATTGCAATAAATAATTCGAACCTGGACGAAAATAAATTCATTTTCCTAAGATAGATTTTGTGTGTACTTTTGGCTGAATTTGTATACCAGTTCAACACATTGTGTTTTAAATATTCGAAGCTATGGCACCGCAGGAGCCCGAAAAGAAAGCAGATGTAAACAGAGTAAAAAAGGTTCATGGAAATGATTCGTTTCAACGAATGAATTATCTGTACCAAGTAAGTATGCAGACTTCGTTAAAAAAAAATTTATACGACCCTTAAGTCAGCACCTTAGAGTCCTAGGCTAAGGTGATATACCTGTAGTCCTAGGCTATAACACTATAGTTATCAGATCTTCAGAGGGCATGTCACTCGACCTGTACCTCAAATATCGTATATCATACGATATATCATAAATTTCTCCCAGACAGATTACAATAACAAGAAGAAAAACAAAGTAGTTAGGTAAGAAACAGTTATATTGTGCCATACTTAGTTTCCAGTTTGAGTGTATTAATATTTTCGTTCGTAAATATTAATTTACTAGCTACTCCTGTGTAGTGTCACCAACTGCTCGGCTCCTATAGGTCATAACATAACGCTTTATAGCCTATTGACTTCTTTGAGAAATGTACTATAGCGACAACACAAAAGATTAGTGCTTTCAAACAAATAAACAAAGTCTTCAGCTTTATACAATTTAGTTCAGATAAGTATAGATTAATCATGCGGTAACCTTTCCTTAAATTTTTCATCCATATAGTTTTAACTAGCTACTTTCGCGCGGCTGCACCCGATCTGCTTGGCTCCTATTAACCGTAGCGTAATGTTTTATAACCTATAACCTTCCTCGATAAATGGTGGTAGTTACGTAGATTAGCATGTTCAAACAAACAAACACCCAAACAAACAAACTTTTCAGCTTTATATAGTAGTATAGTATAAGATAGTAGTTTTTGTTACTATAATTTACTTTATTTTATTTTCAGATCAGTAAACACATAGCAGACAAGAATCCAGCTTTATCAGCGTATTATGGAAACCTAATAGTTGGGGTGGCTAAGAAAATGGTATTGAAAATGTAAGTAAATAGTAAAAAAAATGGTTTCATTAATATTACACAAAAAAAAAGGTTTAAGACGCTTCTCATGCATTCGAAACCAGCTGGCAAGTTCCAATGTTACTTTTTCCGAGTTATATGTACTTTCTAAGATTATCTAGACATCACTGAGAAACGGTAAAGGAAAGCATCATGAGGAAACCTGGGGATATAATTTCTAATTATAAGTTTTTATTCGCCAACGCGCATTGAGCAAACATAGTGATTAATGCTCAAACCTTCTCCGTGCGAGAAGAGGCTTTTTCAGCAGTGGGCATTTATAGGCTGTTGATGATGATAAATATTTCATACTCCTGCACAGTTTCACCTGCTCTAATTTATCTTAACATAATGTTTTATGACCTATAACCTTCCTCGATAACCAACTAACTATTCAGGTGAAAAATAATTATTGAAATGGGATCAATAGTTTCAGAGATCAGCGCTTTCAAACAAACAAACCCTTAGCATTTAAGATTATATTTAGTTTATAAGTTACAGAACTTAATATAACTCTAAATACTGTTATTTATAACATATAAGTAACACTACTTCACACCTACCTCGTTGGCCGAGTGGTCGCAATTGCGACTGCCGAGCAAGGGGTCTCGGGTTCGATTCCCGGGTCGGGCAAAGTATTACTGGGTTTTTAAAAAAATCTCAGTAGTAGCACGGAGTCTGGAACTGTGCCCGGTATATGGCAATAGGCTCACCCCCTATTACATGGGACTCATAACATAAATAGTGAAAAGTGGGTGTTACATTGTACAGTGGTATAATGTGCACCTCTGCCTACCCCTTTGAGGATAAAAGGCGTGATGTTATGTTATGTTGTGTTACTTCACACCTTATAATCATGGAGGGGGAAGGCATTGATTGTGTAGAATTGTGTTTTACACAAAGTATGGAGTGCATATTTGTTCGAGTTTTGTTATAAGGGCTATGTAATAGATGGTTGAACCTGTGGCCTCATTATGTTTATTTAATCAGGGAAACACTTGCTTGTATTCCATATTAAAACATATAATTAGGTGTGATTCATAATTATTTATGATATTTATTAAATTTTATATTTTTTCAGACATCCAGATATTAAACGGCAATTTTGCAAAAAATGTAGATGTGTTGCCATCCATAAGGTAACAGCCACAATGAAAGTAAAAAGAAAAAATAAATCAAAAACAATTCAGTGGACTTGTGACATCTGTGGTACCAAGAGAAATTTTCCCGCCAATGAAAAGCATGACCACAGATTATGGTTAGAAAAACCAGAGGCTGTACTTGAAGTTATTAATTAATAAAATTGTTTATACCACTTATAATTTTATATTTAGTATAAAATGGTTAAAAAGAAAAATAAACTCTGTTTTTCATTGATGCACACAACAATATAAAAACACACATAACCAAACAATTTTTAAAATTATATTTAAATAATTATTAGCTACACTCGTACTTATATGTACCTGTAATTTAGTATAGTACGTATATAATGTGGGTACCCTTTTAACCGACTTCAATAAGTTATCAATTACGAGTAAAGCACACCTTCCTCAGTCGCCATACCTGTCGCCGGTCAGCATTTTGGACACTTTTCGAACGCCTTTTAAATTGACTGTTATTTGTGGAGACACCATGGCTACTGAACTTGGTGTTGCGACGTTCGGATGCCACAAGAGGCCTGTGTCGTTGGTGACGTCACCATGGCATCCCAATGAGGCAGAGCTCTTATCTATGCAGTCACTATATGGTCTTGTGTATATTGTTACGCGGTCTCTCCTCCACTGTAACCAATTCAACACATTGTATCAGGGTCGTAGACGACAATACTGACGCGCGACGATTTCCGTCCGCTGTAAGTGCGGGTGTGCGGACGGCGAGGGTAGCTTAATGCTCAACCAGAACCAGGCTTTGGGCGTACGGCGTGTAGTGTTCCTCACGCGCTTCAAAGAGCCTTCAGACCACCACAGATCGGGCCCAGTAGGGTTGATGCCTGACCCGGAGCTGCGGACAACCTAACGGGTTACCGGGGCTCCTACTCAAAGTAGGAGTAGGAACCGAATGACATGGTTTTAAGTCAGTAAGAGTCTGACACTCTCTTTCGCCTCACCTAAAGCGGGAGAAGTCATTGGATGCTTAGCTTGCTTAGCTGTCACGCTTTTGAAAAGGGGATTGTCCCCCTTTCAAAAGCGTGACAGCTAAGGTTAGCCGTAATGTACCCTTCTATGTACCGCGGTCCCGGTATACATCAGGAACGGCTTCCGTTTGGCCCGCACTGGTGCAAGAGAAACTGGGTAGCTGTCTCCTGCGAAGCTGCTTTAGGGAACAGAGAGTATAGTTCCCTAAGATCGGAAAAGGAGGATCCTCCGACCAGGCGAGGTGATCGTGCCTGGCGGGCTTTCTTCCCAACAGTTGTTCGTTGGGATTTTCTATCCGTGTTTATTCGCTTGTAAACTTTGCATGTGCGATGTAGGATTCTTGTGACGTCATCCGTTGACATGTGACATGCGTCGCCACATCACTCCCTCCCAAGACCGGAGGTCGATCCCGCTGAGAAGGCTGTCGATGCTTGAGATGAGCGGTGCCAGAACCAGTATAGAAAGTCCCTAGTTCCAGTGAGTTGGAACTGTGCCGCTGAGTGCCCAGTGAGTCGGGTGAGCGGTGCAGGGCGATGCTCCAGTGAGTCGGAGAGATGCGTTCGCAGTGTCCCACGGTGAGTCGGGGAAGAGATGCTGCGAGGGTAGGTGCGTAGTGGCTGGCGTCTGCGTTGACGGGAGGAGATGTCCTTCAGAACCGTGTGCAGAAGTGCTGTGCCTAGACGCTGGTGAGGCCGTAGGGAAGAACCAGGCTGCACGACTTCGTTGCAGGCGATGGTGGTCCCTGATGAGGCCGAGGATGCTGGTTGGCTGCGACTTGATTACCACTCAGCGGAGAAATGATGAATGAGAGGGATGGCGACGGATGACAGTGCTAATCTGCTCCGTGAAGTGAAGGTTGCTTCCAATCACGTCGGGGTCACCACTTTAGGGAACTATACTCTCTGTTCCCTAAACTGCTATACCTACCTGCTTAAGAGGAAGCTATGTGGCTTGCAGTTAACTCTAGCTAATTTTACTTTCCATACGGGGTTTCCTTGTATCTACCTAATGTAACCTTAGTTATGAGCTAAACTTCGTCTGCGTTATTTTATAGGTAATACGTAATAATGAATATAAGGCTGGTTACACTAATAAAGTTGATTACAT